TCCACTTCCCAACTTTGTTGGATACACACACAGACACACACACATACTCACTTGTTCTTCAGGGGCTATTTCCAGGGGTAAATACCCACTTAAGGACACAGTTGAGAACTATCATGTACCTGGGACCCTGTGAAACTGGGACAGGGGAGGAAAGGAAAAGTAGCCAAGTGACCTAGACTCAGGCAGGTAGAACAAGCAGCATTCAGGGAGGAGAGGGCCTGAGATTTAGGTGAGTCACCTGGGGAGGCCCAGCTGCAAGACGGAGGCTCGCCACAGCAGCTTCTGTCTCCAGCAGCAAGGATTTCAATGAGATCCTGCAAGGGACACTACAGATATCGTACAAGTGAGGAAGGGAATTTCAGTGACTTCCTCAGAGGCCTAAATCCTTACGCTCTGCATTTGTCCAAACCCACTGCCACCATAGCTCCCATGACCCCAGTGCCATTTGAGAGTGACAGTGTGTGGGCATGAGAGGAGGAAAGTGTCCAATCTGTTGCGACAGAAGCCAACAGGGGAGGGAGAGTCTCTGTCCCCTCTAAGCCCAGGTGACTAGCTCTTCTTTGCTGCAAACAACCCTGGGTTGGCCGTTGTTTCACTTCCCTCCAATGCCCAGCAGTCCTCCTATTTCCAGACTCCTGTCTTCTAACTGAGCCTGAAGAAGCTGTCCCCAGGTCTGGGCCTCTTGTGGGCACTGCCAACCTCAGAGCAGCTCTGCAGTTTCCAGCCCTGACAGGGACTCTTTCTTATAAGTGGTCATGTGCTAGGGGTATGGGACGTCAAAGGAGGCCCACACCCTGACAAGAGGGGACCAGAGCTGGGGGCAGGAACTGGGTGGGTTCAGGCAGCAAGCTCTTCCCCCTTCATCTTTCCAAGGGGGTCCGAGGCCACCCATTCCCTTCCCCCATCCTTAGTCCAAGGCACTGGACCAAGCATTCCACTTCTTTACTTCTCCAACTAAAACAAAACGCACATTGCCCCACTTCCTTTTTCCTCTCACCGGAGCACTGCATGTGTGCACGCGTACACATACACACAGACACACACACACACACACACACACACAGTCATGCACATGCACACGCGCTCACCCCAGTGAATCCATACCTCACATTCCCAAACTCACACCCAGGACTCGCTCCTTTTTTTGTTTTGTTTTGTTTTTTTTTGAGTTGGAGTCTCACTCTGTCGCCCAGACTGGAGTGCAGT